GCATATTTCATCCCACCAATGAAAGACAAGTGTTTTTAATACAAAAAACGCCAACCTTCAAATAATCATGTTCAGTTATGCACTCAATACTTGGTCGGGAATCCTTTTGCATGAATGACTGCTTCAATGTGGCGTGGCATGGAGGCAATCAGCCTGTGGCACTGCTGAGGTGTTATGGAGGCCCAGGATGCTTCGATAGCGGCCTTAAGCTCATCCAGAGTGTTGGGTCTTGCGTCTCTCAACTTTCTCTTCACAATATCCCACAGGTTCTCTATGGGGTTCAGGTCAGGAGAGTTGGCAGGCCAATTGAGCACAGTAATACCATGGTCAGTAAACCATTTACCAGTGGTTTTGGCACTGTGAGCAGGTGCCAGGTCGTGCTGAAAAATGAAATCTTCATCTCCATAAAGCTTTTCAGCAGATGGAAGCATGAAGTGCTCCAAAATCTCCTGATAGCTAGCTGCATTGACCCTGCGCTTGATAAAACACAGTGGACCAACACCAGCAGCTGACATGACACCCCAGTGACTGTGGAAACATGACACTGGACCTCAAGCAATGTGAATTCTGTGTCTCCTCTCTTCCTCCAGACTCTGGGACGTTGATTTCCAAAGGAAATGCAAAATTTACTGTAATCAGAGAACATAACTTTGGACCACTCAGCAGCAGTCCCAGGTGAGATGCTTCTGACGCAGAAGAGTGGCTTGACCTGGGGAATGCAGCACCTGTAGCCCATTTCCTGCACACGCCTGTGCATGGTGGCTCTGGATGTTTCTACTCCAGACTCAGTCCACTGCTTCCGCAGGTCCCCCAAGGTCTGGAATCGGCCCTTCTCCACAATCCTCCTCAGGGTCCAGTCACCTCTTCTCGTTGTGCAGCGTTTTCTGCCACACTTTTCCCTTCCCACAGACTTCCCACTGAGGTGCCTTGATACAGCACTCTGGGAACAGCCTATTCGTTCAGCAATTTCTTTCTGTGCCTTACCCTCTTGCTTGAGGGTGTCAATGATGGCCTTCTGGACAGCAGTCAGGTCGGCAGTCTTACCCATGATTGCGGTTTTGAGTAATGAACAAGGCTGGGAGTTTTTAAAAGCTTCAGGAATCTTTTGCAGGTGTTTAGAGTTACGTCGTTGATTCAGATGGTTAGGTTAATAGCTTGTTTAGAAAACCTTTTCATGATATGCTAATTTTTTGGGACAGGCATTTTGGGTTTTCATGAGCTGTATGCCATAATCATCAGTATTAAAACAATTAAAGACCTGAAATATTTCAGTTGGTGTGCAATGAATCTGAAATATATGAAAGTTTCATTTTGATCATTACATTATGGAAAATAATGACCTTTATCACAATATGCTAATTTTTTGAGAAGGACCTGTATGTGTCCCTGTGATGGACTGGAGATTTGTCCTGGGTGTCCTCCACCTCTCACACAGTGATAGCTTGACATGGGCACCAGTGACCCCTGTGACCCAAAAAGGAAGAAGCGGGTAAAGATAATGGCTGGCTGGGTGTGTATATATGTGTGTGTGTGTATATATATATTTTTTTTTTTTCTTTACCTGTTTTTGATGCATGTTTTGTTTAACAAATCCGGACACAACTTGTGCTGTATATTACACTAATATCAACATAACAGCTAAAGGAACTGTAGCATGTCAGTTAAAGTGCAGGGGCTTCACGTGCAGCACAACGTGATGACAGTATGTTGGCGTTGCAGTCAGAGTTAACAGAAGCCAACATTTCTTAACATGTTAATGTGAAGGGCATCTATGTCCTGACTGTCTGTAGGAGAACTCATTCTCATTTGAACTTCTGTCTATGACTCAGACTTTCACTGCAGAACTTCCTCATATATTATCCCCACTGATTCTAATGGAGTTTGGAGAACTGCAGTTTTACGTTTGGTTCATTCTCTTTCATGTGACTTTTCTCATGTCTAGAGCAGAAACATCATTAGTGGTTCTGGGCTATCAGAAGGTCCACTGAGAGTTGATGACATGGAAAAAGGAACAAAACATGTCTAGATATAAGACGATTGGCCATAGAGATATGAGAGTAAGCCTGATGGTTTCTTGCAATCAGGAAATGACTGAGCTTCCAGTTAACATGGCTTCATCTGCTAATAATTTGTTTTTCCTCACATGCCTGCACGAGCAAATGTGAATCTTTACTTCTTGCACTTTTATTTACAGAATATCAGTGGAACAGTGTGATGAAGGATGACCTGTTTAGTCACATGTTGGTGTTGGGCCAGAGTTATTTTAGGACAGACATGGTGGATGGGGAGAACCCAACTTTGGATCAGACTGATCAGGTAGTTCAGTCCTGCTGGGTGTCTCTGGGGTCAAGGCAGGTCTGGGATTTTGATGAGGAATGTGGGTTTGGGGCTTCTGTTATGAAGAATCTTATCCCAGTTTCTCTCCCTCCTGATCTCAGCAGCTCCATTTCACAAAATGCTTCTTATGGCACAAAGAAGGAAGTAAAAAAAAAAAAAAAGTTTGCTGAGTGCTATTTTATGTCAAACTTGATGTCCAAGAAACAAATACAAACATTGAAAAAAAAAAAAACACAACCTCCATGTCATCTTTTTACCCTTTTGGTTGTCTCCCTCCATTAGTCTTTCCTTATCTCATCCTTCTTTAAGCCTCTTGCTTCTCCTCCTGTCTCCTCCTCTCACATGCTCCAACGTTTGTAACAGGAGTGAAAACATGCTTACCTCAGCAGTTTTTATTTTAGTGTGCAAAGCTCTATTTCTGTAGTGGAATAAAGGACAGCCAAGCAGAATAGAAGGTGCACTGCTTCTCTCATAGCACAGCAAGGTTCTCTGACGAACCGTTTCACTGGTGGCTGCAGCAGAGGTCTCTGTGGGGAAAGAAAAGGGCTCTGAGGACCACCTGCTCGCTGAACTTCCTATAGGAAGAGGAGACATTTGGATTCAACAAAGCTGAAGCATCAGACGTGTGAGATCTGATAGATGCTGAAGGAGAATTGCTGGGATGAAACGTTTTGGAGCGTTTGGCTTGAGGAGTTTTTGTCGTTCCGAGCAGTGGATTTATGTGGATTGTGTTTTACGTGACACTTTTTGTGGATACTTGCTTTGTTTTCCTCCTCATCGAGATGTTTTTAAGTGTCTGAGAAATTATGACCGAGTTCTACCTGGTACAGTAATACTTCTGTTCGCCTGCGTGCAGAGGCACTTTGGCGGCCATAATCTCATTTTTCCCCTTTTTGTTTCCCTCTTCTCTGTCTGTTTTACATTCTTCTATTCTCTTTCTCTTTAGTCTGATAGTAATGCCAGTTACCTGCGAGCTGCCCGGGCAGGGAACCTTGAAAAAGTCCTTGACTACCTCAAGTCTGGAGTTGAGATTAACATTTGCAATCAGGTAGATTTTGGAAAAAGTCACTACAGAATTGTAATATTAGTAGCTCTCATTGGAAAAATGACTTCTCTCTGAACAACAATCTTATTGGACAAGTTGGAAATATATTTGTGTAGTAGCTGTTCGAACTCATCAAACTATATTCCCTCCCCAGAATGGCCTGAACGCTCTTCATTTGGCCTCCAAAGAGGGGCATGTAGAGGTTGTTGCTGAGCTGCTGAAGCTTGGAGCCACTGTAGATGCTGCCACAAAGGTAAGACACACCTAATCACCGCCCTACTGATGCTACTAAAGACTATATTTAGATTCAGGACAAAAGATGGCTGCTGTGTTTGTAGGATTAAGAAGCATCCAGCTGCAGTGGGACTGCGCTGTAAAAGTGTGCAGCCTTTGTTTGGGTTTAAACTGAAATCAATAATTGATGACCCCCTTTATGGACTGCTTTTGCAAATAGTTAAATGTATTGTGAAAAGTAAAATGTGTTCAGCGCAATCCAGTGATTTGAAATCTACAAAATGCGCAAAGCAGGTGAATTTATGTTTTATAAAAGGAAGGTCTTTCACACGGACAGATCTTTATATTCTAATACTAAAAAGAGTTGAGAACCTTTTTAAACATTATTCATATTTGTACCTCGAAGGCTTTCACTTTAATTTAGTCGCCTGGTTCAGCTTCTCAGCCCTGGGCCACATGCCTGGTGCTGACATAAACACAAAACAGAATAAAATATTTAAGATCAAGGGAAAATTCCCCAATTAAAGCCTCACTGCACTGTGACCCTAAGGATGCTGAGAGATTATTTTGAGTCACTGACTGCATTTTAATGTTATCAGACATTTTTATTTTATGCAGATAGTGAAGATGTTGTGAGGAAACCTTGATGTACCCAGACCATTGATTTTGGAGTTAAATGTCTGAAAATAAATTGAAAAAAACTTGTCTTCTTACTGTTTATTTTGGCTCCTTGTAAATTGAGAAATGTGTGAATTGTAATGTAGATTTAAATAGTTTGTGCTGTACTGTGTCCTGATTCACGCTCAACAATCCAGGTAGAAAAATCTAACAAACTTACCGGTAAGTCAGGTCCTCTGGACCATTGCTTTTGGTGAAACGTTTCATTCTTTGAATATTTTAAACCACTTTGGTCATGATTGCCTCAAACGAGTAGGCGGGGGAGAGGGCGGACCACAGAAACCTCCTGAGCACCATCAAACTGCATGGTTGATTGACCCACTATATGAGAAGGTGCTATAATTATAAAACTGAGTTTGTTGTGGCTCCTCGGACTGATGAAGTCTTCTGGATGAAAGATGAAACATTTCAACAAAAAGGAACTGCCCAACAGACCTGACTTAACTTTGTAAGATGTACTATGTCTTATTTTACCCATTTAAAAACTTTCCCATTGAAGGCATTTCTAATGATTAGTTTATTATTTTGTTTATCTATTTTTTATATATTTAAGGATCCTATTTGTTCCCCATTTCTCTTCTTCCAACTTAAGATAATATTCAGCACATACAGAGTCCAAAAACATAATTTACACTTAGTAGAATAGAGAGTAGATAAAGAGGAAAAATTAGTCAAAAGTATTTTATTTTTCTATTGCAGAAAAGTACAAACATCAACACAATATTATAAATATGGTATATAAAATAGAAAGAAAAAAAACTGCTGTGTAATTGTTTTACCAGGTATTGATAACTTGTTGTATGTGACAGATGATGTGAGAACAACTGGATGTATTTTTTTGAATTTTAAGGGACTTGTGTATATAT